CCGATCCAAAGTTACCCCCCCCCCTCCAATTGTCCATATGTTGTACACGTATAGTTAGGAAAATGACCGTCTGCAGGAAGACTAGTCCGCTATCGAAGAACCATCTAACTTTTGATAAAATGTCTTTTTTTTCGAAAGATCAGACCTTGTTCTTGAACTTCCATTAATCTCTTTAATACGTATTTTCTCTGAGCGCTAGCGGACCGATCTAAAGTTACCCCCCCCCCTCCAATTTTCCATAATTATGTTGTACACGTAGAGTTAGGAAAATGACCGTCTGCAAGAAGACTAGTCCACTATCGAAGAACCACCTAACTTTTCATAAAATGTCATTTTTTCGAAAGATGAGACCTTATTCTTGAACCTCCATTAATCTCTTGAATAGGTATTTTCTCTGAGCACTAGCGGACCGATCCAAAGTTACCCCCCCCCCTTCCAATTTTCCATATGTTGTACACGTATAGTTAGGAAAATGACCGTCTGCAAGAAGACTAGTCCACTATCGAAGAACCATCTAACTTTTGATAAAATATCATTTTTTCGAAAGATGAGACCTTGTTCTTGAACCTCCATTAATCTCTTAAATAGGTATTTTCTCTGAGCACTAGCGGACCGATCCAAAGTTACCCCCCCCCCCCCTCCGATTGTCCCATAGGTTGTACACGTAGAGTTAGGAAAATGACCGTCTGCAGGAAGACTAGTCCGCTATCGAAGAACCATCTAACTTTTGATAAAATGTCATTTTTTCGAAAGATCAGACCTTGTTCTTGAACTTCCATTAATCTCTTTAATACGTATTTTCTCTGAGCGCTAGCGGACCGATCTAAAGTTACCCCCCCCCCCTTCCAATTTTCCATAATTATGTTGTACACGTAGAGTTAGGAAAATGACCGTCTGCAAGAAGACTAGTCCACTATCGAAGAACCACCTAACTTTTCATAAAATGTCATTTTTTCGAAAGATGAGACCTTGTTCTTGAACCTCCATTAATCTCTTGAATAGGTATTTTCTCTGAGCACTAGCGGACCGATCCAAAGTTACCCCCCCCCCCTCCAATTTTCCATATGTTGTACACGTATAGTTAGGAAAATGACCGTCTGCAAGAAGACTAGTCCACTATCGAAGAACCATCTAACTTTTGATAAAATATCATTTTTTCGAAAGATGAGACCTTGTTCTTGAACCTCCATTAATCTCTTAAATAGGTATTTTCTCTGAGCACTAGCGGACCGATCCAAAGTTACCCCCCCCCCCCCTCCGATTGTCCCATAGGTTGTACACGCAGAGTTAGGAAAATGACCGTCTGCAAGAAGACTAGTCCACTATCGAAGAACCACCTAACTTTTGATAAAATATCATTTTTTTTCGAAAGATCAGACCTTGTTCTTGAACTTCCATTAATCTCTTTAATATGTATTTTCTCTGAGCGCTAGCGGACCGATCCAAAGTTACCGCCCCCCCCCTCCAATTTTCCATATGTTGTACACGTATAGTTAGGAAAATGACCGTCTGCAAGAAGACTAGTCCGCTATCGAAGAACCATCTAACTTTTGATAAAATATCATTTTTTCGAAAGATCAGACCTTTTTCTTGAACTTCCATTAATCTCTTTAATATGTATTTTCTCTGAGCGCTAGCGGACCGATCCAAAGTTACCCCCCCCCCCCTCCAATTGTCCATAATGTTGTACACGTATAGTTAGGAAAATGACCGTCTGCAGGAAGACTAGTCCGCTATCGAAGAACCATCTAACTTTTGATAAAATGTCATTTTTTCGAAAGATCAGACCTTGTTCTTGAACTTCCATTAATCTCTTTAATATGTATTTTCTCTGAGCGCTAGCGGACCGATCCAAAGTTACCCCCCCCCCCTCCAATTTTCCATAGGTTGTACACGCAGAGTTAGGAAAATGACCGTCTGCAAGAAGACTAGTCCACTATCGAAGAACCACCTAACTTTTGATAAAATGTCATTTTTTCGAAAGATGAGACCTTATTCTTGAACTTCCATTGATCTCTTAAATAGATATTTTCTCTGAGCACTAGCGGACCGATCCAAAGTTACCCCCCCCCCCCCCCCCTCCGATTGTCCCATAGGTTGTACACGTAGAGTTAGGAAAATGACCGTCTGCAGGAAGACTAGTCCGCTATCGAAGAACCATCTAACTTTTGATAAAATATCATTTTTTCGAAAGATCAGACCTTTTTCTTGAACTTCCATTAATCTCTTTAATATGTATTTTCTCTGAGCGCTAGCGGACCGATCCAAAGTTACCCCCCCCCCCTCCAATTGTCCATATGTTGTACACGTATAGTTAGGAAAATGACCGTCTGCAGGAAGACTAGTCCGCTATCGAAGAACCATCTAACTTTTGATAAAATGTCATTTTTTCGAAAGATCAGACCTTGTTCTTGAACTTCCATTAATCTCTTTAATACGTATTTTCTCTGAGCGCTAGCGGACCGATCTAAAGTTACCCCCCCCCTCCAATTTTCCATAATTATGTTGTACACGTAGAGTTAGGAAAATGACCGTCTGCAAGAAGACTAGTCCACTATCGAAGAACCACCTAACTTTTCATAAAATGTCATTTTTTCGAAAGATGAGACCTTATTCTTGAACCTCCATTAATCTCTTGAATAGGTATTTTCTCTGAGCACTAGCGGACCGATCCAAAGTTACCCCCCCCCTCCAATTTTCCATATGTTGTACACGTATAGTTAGGAAAATGACCGTCTGCAAGAAGACTAGTCCACTATCGAAGAACCATCTAACTTTTGATAAAATATCATTTTTTCGAAAGATGAGACCTTGTTCTTGAACCTCCATTAATCTCTTAAATAGGTATTTTCTCTGAGCACTAGCGGACCGATCCAAAGTTACCCCCCCCCCCCTCCGATTGTCCCATAGGTTGTACACGTAGAGTTAGGAAAATGACCGTCTGCAGGAAGACTAGTCCGCTATCGAAGAACCATCTAACTTTTGATAAAATGTCATTTTTTCGAAAGATCAGACCTTGTTCTTGAACTTCCATTAATCTCTTTAATACGTATTTTCTCTGAGCGCTAGCGGACCGATCTAAAGTTACCCCCCCCCCTTTCCAATTTTCCATAATTATGTTGTACACGTAGAGTTAGGAAAATGACCGTCTGCAAGAAGACTAGTCCACTATCGAAGAACCACCTAACTTTTCATAAATGTCATTTTTTCGAAAGATGAGACCTTGTTCTTGAACCTCCATTAATCTCTTGAATAGGTATTTTCTCTGAGCACTAGCGGACCGATCCAAAGTTACCCCCCCCCCCCCTCCAATTTTCCATATGTTGTACACGTATAGTTAGGAAAATGACCGTCTGCAAGAAGACTAGTCCACTATCGAAGAACCATCTAACTTTTGATAAAATATCATTTTTTCGAAAGATGAGACCTTGTTCTTGAACCTCCATTAATCTCTTAAATAGGTATTTTCTCTGAGCACTAGCGGACCGATCCAAAGTTACCCCCCTTCCCCCTCCGATTGTCCCATAGGTTGTACACGCAGAGTTAGGAAAATGACCGTCTGCAAGAAGACTAGTCCACTATCGAAGAACCACCTAACTTTTGATAAAATATCATTTTTTCGAAAGATCAGACCTTGTTCTTGAACTTCCATTAATCTCTTTAATATGTATTTTCTCTGAGCGCTAGCGGACCGATCCAAAGTTACCGCCCCCCCCCCCTCCAATTTTCCATATGTTGTACACGTATAGTTAGGAAAATGACCGTCTGCAAGAAGACTAGTCCGCTATCGAAGAACCATCTAACTTTTGATAAAATATCATTTTTTCGAAAGATCAGACCTTTTTCTTGAAATTCCATTAATCTCTTTAATATGTATTTTCTCTGAGCGCTAGCGGACCGATCCAAAGTTACCCCCCCCCCCCCTCCAATTGTCCATATGTTGTACACGTATAGTTAGGAAAATGACCGTCTGCAGGAAGACTAGTCCGCTATCGAAGAACCATCTAACTTTTGATAAAATGTCATTTTTTCGAAAGATCAGACCTTGTTCTTGAACTTCCATTAATCTCTTTAATATGTATTTTCTCTGAGCGCTAGCGGACCGATCCAAAGTTACCCCCCCCCCCCTCCCAATTTTCCATAGGTTGTACACGCAGAGTTAGGAAAATGACCGTCTGCAAGAAGACTAGTCCACTATCGAAGAACCACCTAACTTTTGATAAAATGTCATTTTTTCGAAAGATGAGACCTTATTCTTGAACTTCCATTGATCTCTTAAATAGGTATTTTCTCTGAGCACTAGCGGACCGATCCAAAGTTACCCCCCCCCCCCCGATTGTCCCATAGGTTGTACACGTAGAGTTAGGAAAATGACCGTCTGCAGGAAGACTAGTCCGCTATCGAAGAACCATCTAACTTTTGATAAAATATCATTTTTTCGAAAGATCAGACCTTGTTCTTGAACTTCCATTAATCTCTTTAATACTTATTTTCTCTGAGCGCTAGCGGACCGATCTAAAGTTACTCCCCCTTCCAATTTTCCATCATTATGTTGTACACGTAGAGTTAGGAAAATGACCGTCTGCAAGAAGACTAGTCCACTATCGAAGAACCACCTAACTTTTGATAAATATCATTTTTTCGAAAGATCAGACCTTGTTCTTGAACTTCCATTAATCTCTTTAATACGTATTTTCTCTGAGCGCTAGCGGACCGATCCAAAGTTACCCCCCCCCCCCCCCCCTCCAATTGTTATATATGTATTACACATAGAGATTAATAGGAAAATTACTGTCTTTTTTTAACCTTAACTTTTCTAGTTTAATATTAATAATAATATAATTCATTATTTTTGTTCGTTTTTGTTAAATTCAGGTGAATAAATAATTTATTTAGTTACATTAATTCAATTTTAATCGTAGACCCTTATACTTTTCACATCCTTCAAATTGGTTTTCCGGCTGGAATCCGGCCAACTTCCATTCAATGTTTACGAAGCGCTTGGCAATCAATATTTGTGTTAGTCTTTATTACAGCCGTTTGTAAAAGAAAACCAGGAGCGAAGTCGAGTCTGAATGTTTAGAGAAGCCGAAGCAAACGTGGTCTTAAAAAGGAACTATTGAACAAACTCAACTTCGGTAAGTGTATCAATAACTAATCAAGCAATAATGCAAGCTTACCCTTTCGGTAAACGTTAGAATTACCTCATTTTAAACCAGTGCTGCAAGTCCAAGTGATAAGTGTGCCCCACATACTAAAATGGGTGTTAGTGTTATTGTCTTTTATTCAATTGAGTTTTTGATCCAAATAGGCTAATCTTTTAGCATATTTTTCTCAACCCAAGCAAGAGAAAAATTTGTGTATGAAATGTGAAATAAAAACTATAGATTTTTAGGCTACTTATGATGTTTAGGAAGAAGAAGTAATAATCAACAAGAAGAAAAGAAAGAAAGAGGGGGGGGGGGGGGGGGGGGAAAAAAAGATTAGAACTAGAAGTAGAACAGTAGATCTAGAAGAAAGAAAGAAATTAAAAGAAAGGAACTGAGATTGAGAAAGTATGTTGGATGAACCTAATGTACATTCATAGCATTATTAATGGGTATGTTTTTTCTTGAATTTTTCAACTAGTTGCCTTGAGTTGTAGTTGGTATGTCATGACCAAAATTGACACAGCTACACATGGATGGTTCTGTGAGTGAGTTACATTAACTTTGTTGTATGAAAATTGTAGCTACAGTATAGTCCTGATCAAGTATATTAATACTTGCATTTAATTTCTCTTTTCAGATAATGGCAAGCGCAAATCTCAAAGCATTTGTTTCGGAGAAGGAACTGACGGAGGAGCGAGAGCGTAGGCAAGAAGAATGGGATAAAGTTCGTACTGCAGACCAACCAGAAGGTTTGGATCAATTGCTTCTTATTTCTGTTTTCTCCAGACGACTAAAGCTCTTTTCTCATCAGCTTAATAACTTCTGTTTTACTTAAGTCTTTTAACTTGTTATGCCAAAAAAATTGAAACCCCAGGGTGGATTTACATGTATACTCAGCATTATAGAAAAGATTTTGGATGTGTGAATTTGTGTATTTTTCAATAAAGACCTTTTTTCTAATGAACTAAACGTTATTTTTCTTGTATTATCTGTAAACAAAAGTCTTGATGCATTAATATCAATACAATGTTAAAAGGAAGAAGAAGGAGAAAAAAAAAGGAAGTGGTCAATATTGCATCTGGGAAAGTATAAAAGTTGTCAAGTAATAAACCTATTTTTATTTTTAAAAAGAAGTTATTTGTCTCGGATAATCTGTAACAAAAACATCTGTAGGCATTGCTAACAACGCAATGTTAAAAATAAGAAGAAGGAAAAAAAAAAAGGAAAATGGTCAATATTGCATCTGGGGAAAGTACACTAAGTTTTCAGAGTAATAACCTACTTTTGTAAAATGGTATGGTTATAACATGCTTTATCCAGCTTAGCATTTTTCTGACTAGCATAAAGTTTATGACTGCATTTACATAGATCATCATTTTATTTTTATATCTTTGATGTGACATTTTTTCTCTTGAATCCTTTCACAGAATGTCCTGAAGAGGAGTATGACCCTCGATCTCTTTTTGAAAAGCTGCAAGATCAGAAGGAGAAGAAGCAGTCAGATTTTGAAGAACAGTTCAAATTTAGTGAGTATTTCTTTTTACATGTACATAAAAGATTTGTGCAATTACCACTACAGTGTATTATTAGTATTAATGACTGCTTTGAGAGAAATAGTTGTTTTTATAGGCTCAAGGGAAGGTTAGAATTGTGCTATTGCCCCGAGGCGTGCCGAGGGCAATAGCCCAATTGTAACCTTCCCGAGAGCGTATAAAAACAACTATTTCTCAAATATTAAAGCAGTCATTAATACTTTTATATGCCGAAAACAAAAGAGGCAACTAATGACACCACCTTGGCCTTTCTCTAGTTTATCTGCACGTTTGTTTTTATGAGTGTATCTTTGAGAGTAGACTAGATCTAGAATCTAGTCTAAGCAAGATATTTTTACAATTTTGGGGGTGGACCGGCCCTGTGGGGAATAGAGAGAAGAACCTGCGCTTTCATATGACACCTCACTTATTGAGTATCACCTTCAGGATCACAACAGATAAAGGTTTGAATCTCGAATTGAAAAAAAAAACTTGACTTTTTTTGCATGGTCGCGCAATGCACATAGACTGCATAGAGACTGCATTGCGTGTAATCTCTATGGGAAGAATATAGCACACAACATCGGGTGCGCGATCAGACACCCTGACAACTAGATCTATTTTCGTCTACGTCTATGCTGGTACTCCATTTTCAGCAACTAAACTAACATGTTTATGGATAATTTCACGTACCCTTTTTGTTGTTCTTGCTGTCAGCGAGTCTTACATTTGATAAGTTGAAATCTTGGGACAGTTTCTTTAGCCATTTTTGTTTTGTTTGGAATTGTCTTGTCTTGTATGAAAATACCGACCAATTCTTCGCACACGTACGGTATCCTCGATCGCTCAAACCATTTTTTAACATGTAAACCTATGGGGTAACCATGGAGACTGAACTATTTTCCGGTAACCATGGTTACTGGGATTTTAGAACTGTTTTAACCATGGTTACTGGGAATTTTACAGAATAGTTAAAGTTTATGAATGCAATTTCGACCAGTCAGATGGCTGGATTTCTTAAGTGAGGTATATATATTGTTTAATCTTTTGTCAGTACTTTGTGTCTTGTCCAAAGTGAATGTATCATTTAAAGGTACTATGTCCCGTTTGCAGGCCGAAAAAATATTAGGACACTGCTTACGTTTAAATTTCACCAATAGGACATACGTGACATATTCATAATCCCTGCAAAGTTCTACAGAATTTGATGTTGGCTGCAAATGGGACATAGTATCTTTAATATGATTTTACAACTTCAGTAAGAAAAAAAAACACATAATTTTAGAGGAGGATGTTTGTTTAAGTGTGTTTCAGATTAGGTTTTAATTTTAATTTTGTATGAAAAGGAATGATCCATATCTTTTCCACCATAGATAGTCTACCAAATCAGCGAATGGTGTTATGTTTATAAGCATAATACATACATAATACATAATACATATATTCCCCCTTAAAGTTTCATAAATGCATGGAGGATGAGAAGGAAAATATCAGAATGCATGGCAAAAATTCGTTTAGTAAATAATAGTTCATCATCCATCTCTCCCCTTCCTCCTCCCTCCACTTCCCTCTCTCTCTTTCAGAAAACATGATAAGAGGAGTTGACGATGGGGAATCCAAGTTCTTGAATGATGTTGCAGAGAGACAGATGAAGATTCAAGCTCAGAGAATGACAGAAGAGAAACAAATAATCAATGAATACAAGATATCCTTTACTGTGATGGTTTCATATTCTTCATTGTGGCTTTCCCTCTCACATTATTATCTTGCTTTTCATCAGTTTTGCCAATATATTTATTCAATCTTTTCAAAAGACAAAGCATTGAAGTTGAATAATCATTTTGTTTGCACTATTACTCCACTCAAATTACAGACGGGAAATGTTGTACAGAATGAAATTTGGGATGCGATGTGATAGGATTCAGTACAATTGGTGGATTCATAGTAAATTGCAAAATATCTTGTATAAGTTTGTTTATGCTTTGCACTTCTAACAAAAATATTTTGTAGGGTTTATTGTATTGTGATGTCATTAAAGAATTATCTTTCATTTCTGTTTTTGTTGACCTATGTAGAGAAATAACAGTCGCATGAGTCTGGATTTCCCCATTTTTTTCAATGCCTTAGTCTCCTTTATTTATTAATTTTCTTTAAACATTTCTGCTCCCCAAAGCAATAAAGTTGTGATTCCTGCAGGCTCTTCCAATATGAACATCTCCCTTCTTTTCCATCTATCTTGCCTTCTGAAGATATGAAACAAAGAAAGATGCTTTTGACCTTGACTTAAACAAAATACGAATCAGTTGTGAACAATACAGTACCTGTTGCAAGCCAGAGCACCAAAGTGCCCTCTCAGCCAGCTGAGAAGAAAGTAGCGACAGGAAGCAAGAGAAGTCAAGCAGCTCTCCTGGCTGGTGCAGTCAAGAGAAAGAGGTAACAGTTTATCGGCCGGCTGGCAGAAGGGCGTTAGCACGCGAGCGACTCGAAAATTACTTCTTGAATCATTTGCATTTAAAGATTTGTTTTATATTTAAACTGCTTTCCGTCCCGAAAATTGGTTTAAACTTTAAAGACTAATAGAAATGTTATAGTAGAACACGGCCACAATTTTTTTGCGGAAATAAGTCAGTTTTATAAAAGTTTGAGGTGATTTAGTTTCATTTTTGATCTGAAATTCGAGCTAATGCCCTTCTGCCACCCAGGCGACAAGTTCTTCTAGTTGTCACACTTACATTCAATCCAAGGTATCCAGGCTAACTTGGAACCGGGGAAAACTTGGCCCCGCTGCAAAAACAGTCATTTTTTGTCATTTTACCCTAACCCTAACTCTAACCCTAACCCGAACCCTAAACCTGCAAAAATTGACCGTTTTGCTGCGGGCCGAGTTTTCCCCGATTCTGAGTTAGCCCGACTCCAACACAGGCTATTACGTTACTCTTGCTGTAACCCTGCGGCCATAATACAGCACTCAAGCACCCAAGGAATTACTTCCTACTGGGAATTCATTTATATTATCTGGGTCATGAGAAGCAAATGTAAACTAACTTCATGCCAAAGATGTTAGTGCCTTGGCAGGAATTGATAGTTTTGATCCTCCTTGCATCCTCATGATCCTTAATCTGGTGAATTGATCAACAGTTGTAAGATGTTATGGATTTGAATTGTTTATTTATTTTCATTTTCGTTACCCCTAGGAATAAATCAAGAGTAGAGACCTCAGGGTCAGGGACACAGTGATTGAGTTCGTTCTTCCCCTCCTTAGCACAAATGATACCAAACCATTGATAATTATATCAATTTATTACCTGAAGATGTAAATTGTGTTTAGATCTCAAGGATCTTCATGGCTTGCTCTTACACTAAATGTGTTTATTCATTATCATCTTTTATTAAAGTCATAAATTTCCCTTATGGCAGACTATAGCCTTGTGCTAAACAAATTATCAAATAAAGTCTCCTACTACTGACTTTAATGCCATGTTGACACTCCCTGCACTTCCTCTTGACTTGAGCATCCTCCTCATTTAGACCAATCTTACCGCTTTCTTTCTTCACTATATTATCTTTCTCTGAAATGTTCAGTCTTCCTTTCCCTCTTATGCCATCCACTTTCAGATCCTGTGCTCTTTTATACAAAGTTCGTCATCTTCCCTTCTCAACACATGACCCATCCATCTCAATCCACTTTTCTCCACCAGTGTCACAGTGATAAAGTTTGCTTTTCCCCTCCTAGGAATTTGGAATTTGAAATTAGACCATAGTAGAAAATGGTAAAATGTCAAATGGTGAACCAAAAAGTGTTATCACAAATCTGTATCCTTTTTGCAGGCCCAGTTCTACAGCTGAGACTAAATCCACTGAAAATCTTCCATCTGCAAGCCCACAGAACCCTGGATCTTCAAAAGCACAAGAACCTCCTCTGACAATGGTTCTCATGATCAAGACGAGCATTCTTCAAACGAGAGCAGCGGTGAAGCCGTAGAAGGCCAGGGAGTGCAATGTATTGCAGTTCTTCCAGGGATTGGGTCGTATTCAAACAGCAGTGAGGATTCCGACTCGGACACCAGTGATTCGGAAGGCGTAGAGCTCATAAAGACCGTGTTCCACAAAACTGGACCCAGACATAAGTGTGACTCAAAGTGATCATGTGTTAGAACATCAGACTGATTCGTAATTCATAACACTTTGAGGATGAGGCATGTTTTACCATCATTGATGCTGACAAAGTTCATACAGTGAACAAAAAAACTAAACTGAAGCAGAGTAATTCATCACTGGCATAGCTGCAAAGGAAGTCTGGAAAACTGGAAGGAGCTCTGGTAAAAACAAAGAAATCTCTCATTTTCAAAAGCTTCATGTAATTAAAAAAATGATCTCTTACGAACAACAACAAAATACAAGCAAAATGAAATTTCATACTTGAAAGGGCATGCGCGAATGTTCTTTGAATCTTGGAGCTGCTTTGTCGAAGTAGCATTTGACAGGAATTTGAATATATTTTGCACAAATTTGTGATCAACTATCTCAAGTTTAAATTGGTTTAAATACGCAATGGAATCTCTTTCGACCACCATTATGTAAGTTATGGCACCATGTATCAAGATTGCAGGATAACAAACCAAATCGTGAAGTAAGGGGAACTACCAAAAATGTTAAAATGAAGTACCAGTACTGATCAAAATTGACTTCTTTGAATGTATGTGATAAATTGTTGCCCCACGCATATGTGAAAAATAACCAGTCTAGGATGGTCGATATTGCACTCTCGCAAACAATGCCTCCTGTTCATTCAAGCGTGAACACATACCACACAAAAATGATACCAAACGATTTGGGATATAACACTCTTTGAAAACATGTATGAAAACCTTTCGTTGATAGCTGACTTAAGAATAAATGAAAATATTCTGAGTGTAAACTTTTTTTTTAATCACACGGTAGGTCAATCTAATATTTGATGGACTGGGGTTTGGCTAATCAGTCTTGGTCTTTGTAGAGATGATACAAATCTGACGATTTAAAATGTGAACGAAGTCTAGTATTGGGTCTCTCTCTTGCTACTTACAATAATTTATTTCAGATGTGTAAGGGATGCCTACAAAATGTCATTGTATGAAGTATGCATAAAGCATTGTCATAAGTAAAGAGAAACTAGAATTAGACTAATTCCTTAAATGAATTAAAGTAATTCCTTAGACTAAGCATTGAAAGCATTGTCATAAGTAAAGAGAAGCTATAATTAAAGTTATTCCTTAGACAACTATTCTTAACATTACATGTAAAGCATTTTCTTTTCATTTCTTCCAAGTACATGTTTAAATTTGTTTTTATAATACAAACATTTTTATTTACTATTGTGCAGTGAACTATTTCATCTTGCAGTGGATTTCTCTTCTGCATGTACTTTACAATACAGTTTGTCTGTAGTCATTGAATTTCTCTTAAATATAAAAATGATTGAGTATTTCTTTTTACTGCATGTCTATACTCGCTAATAGGGAATGAATTGGGCATCTTGATTGTTGATATGCTATGCCCATGAATAAAACAACCACTTTTTTAAAAACATGGAATGTATATAGCAGGTCTGTTTAAATTAAGGACTTAAAGTTGGAATTACTTTGTCATCATAGGAATGTACATGTATATTAACTATTATGTATTCGTTCACATGACTTTTAGTCTTGAAACAGCAGTTTCTACTCTTCATACTGATCCAAGTGGTTCCAATTATTCAAATATTGGATTCTGATATTCAACTGAGAAAAAAAAAAGTACTTCCACCAATTTTCTGTAAAAAAAAAAGAAGAAAGAAAATACTTCAATGATTTTCCAACATTTATTTTTTCTAGAGTTGTGGTATTGTGAAATGCATACCTGCTATTTCAGATTTTGTAAGACAGGTGTTTTATTTTAGAATGAACTCTTCAGAACACTATCAATGCTATTGTATATTGAACATAAGTTTAATAACTTAACATTTGTTTTTCAAGGAAAAGCTGCATTAGAAATGCAAAAAGTAAACATCAATTTTTGAATTAATTTGATTTTTTTTTTATAATCTGAGCTGTAAGGTAAAAATCAATAGTTACCATTTGTGTTTAATATTCAGGAAAGTTTATAAGAAATAAAAACAATCATATTCTTACTTAAGTATCATTACTTGTTCTGTTCTTGAAAACCTTCCCTTTTCAAGCTTAAAATCTTCATCACGGATTAATCTCGGTGCAAACACCAAATGTGTTACTAATATAATGAAACAAATATGTTGTTATTATGTACAGTTCAGGAGGAATTCATAGGGCTATCAAACTGGAAACAATGGTCAGTAGGATGCGGAAATCAATGTGGTTGGATGAGCAAGTGTGCGCTTGTAAAATGGCGACTGGAGAGAATGCTCCCCATGGAGTGGAGGATGTGCATACATTGTATGCGGGTAAGCCTGAATCCGATGGCCGGGTAATGATATATCTGTAAAGTGCTTAGACACATCGTTGTATCCAGGGCTCAAATTAATTTTTTGTCCACGGGGGCTCTTCAAAAAAAGAAGAGCCCCTGTGATCCTTCT